AGATAGCAGACTACAGTGTGACGAGTTGCAGAAATCTTTTTGGATCCCTAGAAGAGATGTATTTCTCTGTATTTCTCTGTATTTTCACTCGCCTGCTATTATACCATACTTACTTATGTAAAATAGATAAATACACTTTTTTATTTCATTATTTTTAAACATCTTGGGGCCAGATAATGTTTAAAAATCATGAAATCTAAAGATCTAAATAACCTCTTAATGTCTGCATGTAAGAATATGTCTACAATATTTAAGTAGTGAGGAGACACAGAAATTAAAGTATTGCCGTGCAGAATACAGGAGTAAAAAATAGCCTTCTTCTCTCTCTGTTGATCTGCTTGCTTGAGAAAGAAATGGCAGAGTGTTCATGGCAGCGTCCTCCAGCACTCGACTGCTGACAGTGTGAGCAAGACGAAGGGTTTGAAAGTGACTCCAAACTCCAATTTCTATGAAAAGTTCTCTCTCTGAAACAGCACAGGCTGGGAGGTGAGTTTTGAGAGCCAGAAATCTCAGGAACTGGTGAAGTCGATGTCATGCAGCAACCCCAATATATAACCCGGCATGCCTGTTTGTGGTGTCACCATAGACGTAGCCTCCGTCACAACACCCAGAGGTTTCTGAAGAGCCGTTGTGAAGCTCAAAGTGGGCGGCTCCAGCCGTCGCCATCTTGGTATCGATACACGTCGGCAACAGTTGTCTTTGTCACGTGAATACTTTCACCTATATTTGCGCCTATATTTATAACATAACAACACAGAGCCTAGTCCTAGCAAACCAAAAGCGTCTGTCGTACCAGGCTGTAAACAATGTTTATTCCTGCATTTTATCATGGCAGTCTATTGGGATTGACTCACTTTATTAAAACGGCCTCAAGTGGCCATCTGAGGAACTGCTGAGAGGTCGGCTACATTTTTCAGCACTGGTGGTCACTGCTTGGGGTATGAGGCAAACAAAATCCTAACTATCGCAACTTTAAAAGCTCGTATCCACTGTAGAGATTTATCTTTCAAATTACCAGAATGATTATTAAAACATGAATGCTCATGTAACCGCACAAATTATAACAAATAAATGAATAAACGAGGGGCCAATGCCTGAGGTCCAGCTTTAATCCTAAAATATGTTGCATATTTGCATATACTGCATAAACTGTTGGCCTTCTCTGCCTGTTTTCCCTCACTAATTTAATTCCTTAAAATCCCTTCATTGTTTGGTTGACTCTTCACACACTGGCGGTGTTTCTGTGTTTTCATGCTTACAGTAGAGATTAATAACAGAGGAACATATTCACAGCCGGTCCGCTCTGCCCTGGCTTACAGTAAGCATGTGTGTCCGGGCACATGGCCGTGGTCTCCACATGGAGAGCGATGGCAGCTCACCCCCACACTCATGCAGTCGAGTAGCTCTGAAAAAGGCACGCAAAAACCCGCCACCGCGGATCTTCGTATCGCCGCCTCGTGTTGTTGGACAGAGATTTATGCTTCTGCTGAAGTGCACAAACAGTTGCTCGCTGTTATTGATTTGCCCTCCGGTCAATCCGTTTCCTCAAGTAAATCATGTCTTCGGGAGGCTTTCTTAGAAGATCTCCTCTTTAAAGGGATATGTTAATTCTCGGTGCACTACAAGTCACGGGATGATTTTACTTTCAATCATTGATTCTTCACGCTCCAGTAACGATGCTCAGCAGACTGAGGTTTTATGCTGATCAAGAGGCATTTTCATGCGAGTAATTATTCAGCTTTTATTATTCTACGATTTACAGTAATAATGTCTCGACAAATTCAAAAGCCGCTGAGAGAAAATGAAAAAGCACAAAAACAAAACGTCAATGGTTTTTAAGAAAATCTAATACGGGGAGACCTTCACAGCAAAGAAAGGCGAGAAATGACCAGAGCCATTTTCGTCCTGTGACTGCCATCAATATCCTAGCAACTGTCTCCCGGGGGCTCTATAATCTCCCCCATCTAGCCAATTAACAAGTGGGGAGGTTGTGAGCGGGAGAGGTCAGGGGAGCAGAGACTGAGATCTGGGCTTCAGACTCCGGATGAGAAACGCTTGAGACTCTGATCGCGGCTTCATCACTTCCACTCGAACACCCCGGCTATTTCTGTGTTACCCAGGTGGCTTCTTTCTCCTCCGTGTTCATTTCGCCATCTTGATTTGATTAGGTGCAGCGCCACTTGTCAGTCTGGTGGATAGGATAGCCGCTGAGCTCGGGCCACCTGTCTGCCTCTTAACCTGATCCAGCCTGTGCATTGATACAAAAACAGAAACAGAAAAATCGGCTCAAGTTTCCTTAAATGCATGAATTGACTGAGAGCGAAAAGCTTCCTGCTGAAATCTAATGTTCACGGCAGGATTGTGTGAGCCGCCTTCATCCGGCAGAATCGTTCAGGTGCACGCCGGATCAACTTCACCCCATCTCCGAAACAAAGGCCTTCATGTGCCTCCTCTGTTTGACAGTTATTCACACCTTCTGTTAAAGGCAGACAATAACGTCGATGCTCTATACCCTGAGCTTCCTTTATCTCAAGAGGAATTCACAGCTCGGAGTATCGCCGCTATTCCTCGACACATGGGATGCACGCAGCAGCCGCCATGAATTATTCAAAGGTTCTCTTCCTAGTTGCAGAGTTGACATTGAGTCATTTCTTCATCTATGGGATCCCCCACGGAGAATGCACTACTGTATACTGAGAGGTAGAGGGGCAGCTTCTTATACTAAAGTTCCTGAGCGTCAGAACAAAGGCCTCCTGTGCTGTCCACTACATTAAACATGATATATACAAATACCCACACATGCCGCATAGTAAACATGAACACCAGCTGCACTGTAAAACCGAGGCTTTTCACTCAAATCGAGGCAGACTGACTCTGACAAGTGTGCCCAAACCTCTGTGTTATTAATGCGCTCACACCTCCACATGCGTAGGCATTGGCACAAATTAGCACAAGCAAGAGGCTGGTGTCCTATGGGAGAGGCAGCTGTCAGTCTTTAGATCTATTCTTGGCTCTGAGAGTCTTCACACAACTGGGAGGGGGGGGGCTGACAGGTTCTATAGTAATCAATCATTTGTCCCACGGCTGCTTCACAATTTGATACGAGCGATGACAAAGAGAAATAAAAGGGAAGCTATTATTCGGAGGTTTCAAAGGCGAGATTTTTCAAAGGGATTCTGTCCATAACATGACAAAATATAGATGCTTGACAATTCTCAGCAGATACCAGAAAATATTGGCGACTGTGTCCCTTCTGCCCTTTCTCCCCCCCCCACACACACACACAACCTACATGTCATGCAATTATAGCTCAACATCCTAACAAGACCTCCCATAGGACCACTAGTCGGTGACGCTGTCAGTTTGGTAGCTGAGATTGCTGGAAATGTCTCATTACTCTGCTGAGCGCATGCAGCAGAAACTCCTCTCAACGCAGCACAGTTAACTCTGTGTGTGAACCGTCCCCCCCGTCCCCCCCAAATAAAAGTCATTATAAGAGAATAACCCAGGGCATCAGCAGACACCTAGACCTGACCTTAGTCTCCGGGATGAATACATTACAGTGTGTTTGTGCAGAATGAACAGATGAGGAGGGTCATTGAAGGGTCACTGATGTCTGCATGCAAAGGCATTGTTTAAAAAAAAAAAGAAATGTACAGGTGTGGCTTTTCTTTTACATTTTTGTATCGCATAAGTTCAGATTTAGCATCTGTTTGGATACGTGACGATTTTACTCATGTGAGCCGTTCAGGCCAAGGGAAGTGAAAATGTGTTCCTACTCCGATTGGCATTGGTAAACGGAAAAACAATCAAAAGCAACGCAGATGAAACAAAACGAGATGTTTGTGGGAGCGTGATTTGGAAATGCAAAGGTTTCACCCTGATTTCACCTCCTCACTCTCTTGTTTTCATCACGCACGTCAGCCCACCATGAAATGAAGGCGAGCATGAAAAGAGCTAACAGAAGGCGGTGGGTCGATGCGGTGGTATGATCACAGTCTGCTCTGCTTTTGGCCTGCTGTGTGTGTGTGTGTGTGTGTGTGTGTGTGTGTGTGTGTGTGT